ACCACTGTCCCCACTGTACCTCTGTCCCATTGTCCCACCGCCGTCCTCGCCACCGCCTTCACCACTGTCCCCACCACTGTACCCTCCACTGTCCCAGTGTTTCCACCTCATTCCCACTGTCCCCACACCACTGTCCCCACCACCACCGTCCCCACCACTGTCCACTGTCCCTACTGTTCCCACCATTGTCCTCACCACTGTCCCCACCACTACCGTCCCCACCACTGTCCCGCTATCCCTCACCACTGTCCCCATCACCACCGTCCCCACCACTGTCCGCACCCCCCCCTCGGTTTTCGAGGGGGGGGGGGGGGGGGGGGGGGGGGGGGGGGGGGTTCCCCCGAGGGGGGGGGGGGTTCGAACCGGTAGTGACCCCCCCCTTTTCATGATGAACGGGGGGGGGGGGAAGGGGTTCGAACCGGTAGTGACCCCCCCCCGGTTTTCCGGAGGGGGGGTGAGGGGTTCGAACTGGTAGTGACCCCCCCCCGGTTTTCCACCAGCAGCGGTAAAACACGCTCTTTCTTATATGTTTGTATAGATACATAAACATATGCAAAAAGGTATGTGCATATCTATATTTAACTATGTATAGAAATATCGCCGTGTATGTATACACACACATAGCTGGATATGTTGACTGATTTGAATTTACGTACATCGATACACGTACATAGATATGTCTACACATGTATACACATCTATATGTATATATATGTATGTATATATATATGTATATATACACATCTATACATATATATATATATATATATATATATATATATGTGTGAGGGGACGATTGTGGTATAATGTGCGCTCCTCATGTTTTCGCTTCGGATAAGCGCGCAAGGGTTGATAATGTTTACTTCGTTTATCCTCCTGCTCCTGATCCTGCTTCTCCTGCTGCTCCTCCTCCTCCTCCGAGTTGCCCTTCTCCTCCTCCTGCCCCCCCCATCCTCCTGCTGCTCATCATCTTCCACATCCTCAAGATGGCCCCGCGAGGCTCGCGATGCCACCACTCGGAGATCCCCACGGACTGCTACAGATGCAATACTTCGCCCTGGTTCTGAGGCAGATGGGGGCGGCGACAAAGGGAAAGGGCGCAAGCATAATACTTTAACACCGACGCAGACAAGACGAATCAGGACTCGTCAACGTTGACATGCGCGAGCGGCGGGAGCCTGGCCAGAGAAACCGCGCGACGCAGGCCTGCGCTTCAAAGTGAATGCTGTTCTCTTGATCCGAGGTACCCTACGAGCGCGAAGACTGTCCAAGAGCGCTCTCGCAGCGGGCTTCTTCTGAGCGCCGCGCTGGACGGCAGGAGCGGCGTCGCGCGCCGCTGGCTTTCCCTGCACGCACGCGGCGCGATCGGCAATCTGCCGCGCAACCTTCTGCCGGGCTTCGCGCGGCGGAAGTCGCGCAGGCGCCAGAACGTCGGTGCCGCACTGCGCCTGGAGTGAGCAGTAATTATTCCACTCATCCCGAGGAAAAGCCCAAGCCATAATGCATCGCGATAGCACGTTGGCCTGTCGCAGCTGCCGCAGCGTCGGCGAATGCAGCGCGCAACAGTGGGCCTGCAGCTTGCCCAGGAATCCAATTCTAAGTTGAAGCTCCGCCGTCGACGCGTAGATCTCCCCCTGATTGCGAAACCACGTGTTGATCTCGTGGTTGAAGGATTCGTTAACCGACGTGCCAGATCCAAGCAGAGCTAAGCGCGCCGCCGGCAAGGAATGCCTGAACCGGAGGTTGTTAAAAAACCATTGCATCCGAGCTGAAGCGGTAGCATTGTAAAGCAACCTCTTAAGCTGAACGTTGTTCACGTGAGTGCGACGGGCAAGCTCTTCTGGAACCAACGCACTCAACGCGGCGATAGATTCAATGAACTCATGCGTCGTTCTCCATGGCAGCTCGGCGTTCACATTGTCAATCATATATTGAGCTCGCGGCTTCGACAGAGAATGGTCGAGTATCTGCTGTCGCGCGCGCTCCTCTATGGGTCGCAGAACTGGCGCGTTCGTTCCGTCGAACGGCGCCCCCCAGAATTGCGCCGGCAGCGTGCTGTCTACCTTCGTGAACTTAACCATGATTATGCGCAATAGCTTCGATCCCACTGTCTTTTTCCTCCAGTGCGTCTCCTCGTACGTGATGGGCAAATGAACCGGGTCGGGGCTCAGATAAACCAGGTTGGAGAAGCACGAGCTTCGCAACGCGCGGTATAACGCGCTGCTCGGCTGGTCGCTGGCAACGGACACTGTCTGCGATCTGCACGCCTCCGACCAACGACCTGCAATCGCTCCGGCTATTTCGTCAGATGCCTCGTCCCTCGTCAAGAAAACGCCGAGCGCCGCGCCCGTCCGACCCGCAAGGGTCAGCACGCGGCGCTTGGCGTCAACGTCTGGCACGGGCGCTGCGTCTCGCACTGCTTGGGAGGATCGATAGTCTGCTTGGCCCTTGACCCTGCGCAGAATGCGGATGGTGGCGTCCATGGAGACGTGGAGGAATTCTTCATGTTTCCGGCATTCCTCCATCAACGCAGCGCTGCGCTTCTCTACGTGCACGCTGTTGAACACGTCTTCCATGAGCTTTGGCCAGTGGTCGACGTGCGTCGGCAGCATGCTACTCAACTCAGAGCCCTGCTCCACGACGCGAGCGCACGTCCGCAGCATCGCCGGGCGAACGCGCCCATGGTGGCGCAAGGATTCCTGCATCACTATGTCCGCGAAGCCACGGGTATAGTAAGTGTACCCCACTCGTCTGCACGCGAGACTCCGCCCGACTGCAGCTTTGTTCTGATACGACGGCCCGTCGTCGTCGAGAACAAGGACAACGTCTTTGTCAACCGCGTTCTGTCCGCGATGAACAGCGGGAGATACTGTCTCGCGCATGGTCGTCGCAGACCGCTTCAGCAGGTTGCCGATTGGAGCTCGCAGGAGCCGGTCGTTATCGAACAGCGCGCACACGACGTTGAACTGCTCCGTACCAGACGCCACGAAGCGCGTCTCCCTGACGTGGTACTTGGAGACGTGAGCGCGTAAGAGCAGCTGCGTCGAGAACGATCGGAACGGGCATAGGCCGCAAGCAAATCTACACTTGCCCTCGCTGTCCCGCTTGGGGCGCAAGAGCGAAACCCCCGTGGCGAAGCCCTTAACTTCCTTCTCCAGGCAATCAAACAACTCTGTCCGCACAGCCGTTTCGCCTTCGTCCCCGCTCGGGGATGCAGGAGCATCCACCAAGCCCGCGTCCGTCAGCTCGTGCGGCTCGCGCTGCTCGGCCGCGAGGCACACCCAGCCCTCGCCGACATCGTCGGCTTTCCTCTTGCCTCTGATCCGTCTCCCAGTCGGCGCGCGCGCGACCTCGGCGCCTTCATGCCCATTGCGAGCGGGTGCGCCGTGCATGTAAGATGGCGCAGGAGGGCGGCGGGGAGAAACAAAAACACAGGGCGGCAAAGCCGACCCAGAAGTGATATGGCAGAGAAAACACAGGGCGGCAAAGCCGACCCACGATGAACACATGTCTTGAGCCGGAGAAAGATGGAGAGGTAAGCAGCGATTCATTAGTTGCACTGACGTCGAATATGTAAGAGCCCGACTACGGGGGTGCATCGAGCGACATAACGGCTCCACGCCACGTTGGGCACATGGGAAAGTGGGGAGAACATCTGGAGATGATGAGACATCGCGCTTGTGTCGGCGCAATGCGTCGATCGAAAGTCGCGGCCCGCGCTCGACGGAGGCCCGCGCGATGGCGTCAGCGCCGCCGCGCCTCCCTGAGCCCCAATCGCGGGCGCGAGTCGGCCCACGCCCCTCCTAGCTCTCAAGCTGCTTGTCGCTTGTGCATTCTGAGCATTTCGGTAGTGAACTCTATGTTCAGGGTGTCTTCCCAGGCGACGCAAACTCCGCTGCACCGCGCGCATGCGAAGACGTCGCTGTGAGGTTCCAATCTCGGCGCCAACATTGCCCGCGCGGAGGTCGTCGCGCGCAAATGGGTCACCTCGGGGAACGGAAATGATCTCACCGTGGCCACGCACCCCTCCAGATAGTGGCCGATGCCGTCGACGTCGCCGTCATCCAACCCGCAAATGAAACAGCGATCGTGAACGGGGCTGGGGGCCGTCACCGAGGCAAGTTCTGCGTTGGCAGGCTGAAACCAGCGAGGCACAACAGCAAGGGCTCCGGGCAGTCCGGCGCCGCGCGGGCCACGCGAGGCCCTGGGCCTGCTCGACCTGAGAGGCCTCACCAGTACAAACGTTTTGTCTGGGCGAAGCTGTTGGCCCCCTGCAAAACGACGCGCTAGTGTCCGTCTACGCACGGCGGGGAAGAATGACAGAATTCTGTAGCATACTTCATCTGATACCAGGGATACCATCAGCGCGAAAGCCTCGATGTCAGCGGCGTCGTCTCTTTCCGGAGACGATGGAGGGGTTCGCGCTGCAGCCTCGCGCGCAGCCCGCGAGGACATTCGACGCCTCCCGCGCGCAGGCGTCAGCGAGCGGGCGCCAGACACAGCGCGCCGCTGGCGAGCCCTCCCGCGCGGAGTCGGGTCGCCGAACTCAGGGGAGTTCTGGCTCAGAAACGGGGAACCGGCAGCGCGCTGGTCGTCGGTGGCCATGGCGCCGAAGTGCGAAAGAGAGGTCGCAGGACAGCAATGCTGATCCACAATCAGGTAAAAAGCGGGGAAGTCAAAACAGGCCGGCAATGCCGAGCCACGTTTGCTATAATCTTGAGCCGATGAAGCAAGCGGCCGCGCTGATTCCCCCCCCCCCCCGCCTCGCCGGAACGCGCGCCTGGGAAAAATTGTATTCTATGCTACTCCCGAGCGGACTCTGCGCGCGTCGCCTGTTGGGCAGTGCGACTTGCGCCCGCATTCGCTGCGCGATGATGGCGTGCAATGCATACTGTTTCTGGGTGCTCCCTCCTCGCGTTGGCGGTTGTGAATATGAATTGGATATCCTTTTTTAGTAGACCTAGCGTCGCACCCATGCGTTCCTTCATGCTAAAGCATCACTACTTCCGCGGGGCATGAGAGCACGCGGCTGTCACCGTGGCCCCCGCAGAACCCACGCGCGCAATTCTCAGCCGCTGCAAGTCGGCATTCGGCAATTCCAACGGCACCTCAAGAGGGCGGCGCGCCGTCGCCGCGGCCTCGCCAGGGCGCGACCTCCACTGATGTCCGGCGAAACGCACGACCGAAATTGGCCGCGGTGCTCAGGCAATAAGGCATGCGCGCCGCCACGACTGGCCGTCGCCAGCCGCCCGCAGGGTCTATCTCGCGGGCGTCTTCCGACGCCATTGCCCGCAACTCTCGGGACCTCGTGCGCTGAATGGCCATGAGCTCCTCGATCTCTGGGATCACCGGCACGTCGTCTACAAATGGCTGGTCACCGTTGTCCGGATGCAGGCAGACCACACACATCGCGGCCACGCGGGCGCCGTAGTACTGCTCCAACATCCACCTGTATATGTTAAGCTGCACCCGGTAATGATTTCCCTGGCAGTCTGGCAATCGGCCCAATGGAAACTTCATGTTCTCCCATTGGTTCGTGAACTTCGAACGTAAATTCTTCGCCCGCTTCCAATCGTATATGTACAGACTGCCCGCGGAGTCTCGAGCCACGAAGTCGATTGACCCAGCAAGCCCCTCGTGCTCCGCGAAGATGGCCCACTCGGTGCGGAAAGCCGCCAGACCTTTCAGCGCGCCCAAGAATTTCGAGAACAACTGGAATTCTACGGCATCGCGGGGCACCAGGACGCGGTTGAGGTGGGCCTCGAACGTCCAGTGCATCCAGGTGCCCCGCCTAGCCGCCTCTTCTTTGTTTAGGCGCCATGTCTCCACGATCTCCTGATCCGAGAGAGATAAACTCTCCATCAGGCATGCCAGGCGGGGTGCCGCTCTCGCAGTAGCCTTCACCTCGGCGCAGATCTCGGCGTCGCAGGCCCCGTGCGAAACAAGTAAGTCGTGCAAGCAAGCAGCCTCCGGCATGGTCCGCAGCTTTGCGACCACGTATTCGGGGCGAGGGTGGCGCAAATAATCAGGTCGAGGCCAGTTCCGCCCGCTCCGCATCTTCTCGATCACTGCGACAGCGTCAAAACCTCGAGAATACTCGTGTATCAACCCCGTCACTGACCCATGGGTTCGCACGCCGCGAATGTAGTAGGAATGCGACTCCTCGACGAAGTGCAGCTGGGCGTCCCGAGGGTGCGCGTTGAGTCGCTCGAGTAGGCGGATCTTCGGAAGACGCGGCAGCTCGAGGGAGAAATCACACGGAACTTGGGGCACCTGAGTGCCGGGCCACCCCACCGGCGGCAACGGGCAGAACAAGCGCAAAGATCTGCGCCGCATTGCCTCCTCTCGGTTCGCCGATACCCGGGCTGCCTCCTGCGGCGCGAGCAAGCCCGACGACGACGCCGACCCATAGGGGCCCGCTCGTTCGCGAGCTGCGCGCCGACGGATGAGTGCGTCCAGCCGGTTAGCTTCGATGATCCCCGAAGTCGTGCCCCATGGAAGAGGGCGGCCGCCCTCGGGCCCCGGCCTCTGTGCGCCGAGCTCCACCAACACGAACCACTTGTGCTCCTCGACGTCCGGAATGTCGCCCCACGCGCGCCACTCGCGAACCGCTGGCAGGCATGCTCGGCGGTCAATCACAGTGGCGCTGCCTGGCCGCAGGATAACGGCCGTGAAGTGGCCGACGCTCGCGGCCAGTTCAGATTTGCGCCGCGGCGGCTCCCACTTGACGTAACGCCCAGGGCCGGTCGGGCCCCGCGGCTGCTGGATCAGGGCGAGGCCGAGGTGTGACAGCCATTGGTTCCCGTGCTCGAGCGCGCGGAATGGGCCTTGCACGCTGGTCGGCACGCGTGCGCCCAACGCATTCAAAGCCAAGCTGAGACACGCATTGGATGCGTCTTCCCCATGCACCATTCCTCCCAGCGGATCGTCGTCGGCGCTCACGAAGCACCCGTCGGCCGCGGTCTCCCGCGATCCCCGTCCAGTTGTCAAATCGACGTCGAATGCGCATTCACTGCTGTTAGTGATGTGCAACAGCGCGCCCTCGACTTCCCCGACGCGGCGGGCCCACTGCGCCGTTGGCAGAACATGTCGGCTGAAACCTCTCCACACGATCGCCGAAGAGGCCCCTGGGAGAACAGCCGCAGCGCAGCAGTGGCCCCGCGTATGACAGAAATATTTTCCGGGCAAGAGTGAGCACGCACCCGGCCGCGAAGCCTGCAGGCGCACGACGGTCAGAGAGAAGCCGAAGTGGTCGGCGACGTCTGCGCAGCGACGCTCCGCACCCCGAGGAACGGGAAATCGCGCGCAGTAGTCGATGCAGCCGCAGAAGTCCTGCGTCAGGATGCTGTAGGCGAGCAGGATGCAGTTTCCATCTTGTAGGAGAGCTCGACAGCCGCGCACGGCGGGCGGCGAAGGCTCTACCCAGACGCCGAGCTCTTCGGCCGCCGCCAATTCCGTCGCACCAACCGGCACCTCGTCAAGAAGTCGCGACATGTCCCTGCGCCAAGCAGAAACCTTGGCCTCCCACTGCCGCTTGCTGACGCCAGGAAGGAAGGGGTCTGGGGTCGCGGGCCTCTCGTCATCTCCCAGCTCGCCAGTGCTACTAAGAAGCTGGACGGATACATACTCGATGGAGCGTTTGACCCCAGAAACACATTGCAATCGCCTTCCGCGCGGGTCGGCACATTCGACAACCGCGAGCGCTTCGCACATGCCAGGTAGCGCGCGGCGGGGCGATGAGGTGCCAGGGCGGCAAGGCCGACCCACAGTGAAATACGGGTAATTATGAAGCGAAGAGAGCACAGGGCGGCAAAGCCGACCCACGTACCACGTACGACTTGAGCCGACGCGGCGAGCGGCGCCCCAGAAGGCACGCAGATACACCTGTGAAGGCAGACCTGCGCAGAACATCGCAGTAAATCGGGTTGTCCAAGTTTCTTCAGAAAACGCATGAGGTCATATCTAGTATAGTGATGACTGTATGCGAATATTGATTGACTTTGTATTTCCTCTACTGGATGTAAGCCAACATGCAAGCAGTGCGGATCGGCGAAGCGAACGGCAACGCAACGGGGCCTGTTGCCCCGCGGGCCTCGGCGAAGCGAGGATCGGTGAAACAGAATGCGTTGCCCGGGCCTCATGCCATCATATTCAAGAGCGCTGCCAAGGGCTTGGCGTCGCCGCTGTCTTCGGCGGCCGCTGTCTTCGGCGGCCGCCTGCGCCGCCGGAGCCAAATCAATGTGAAACGTGACTGCTAGCCTCGAGTCTCGCCCGGCGAGGACGGCATCAAGGATCTCTGCCAGACTCACCTCGCCGACTTGGCCATGAAAATGAATCGTCGCCTTGTCGAGCTCCGCTCCCACGTGGACGAGTGCGCACGATGGCGACCCGTGCCCATCCATGTGGAGAAGATAATGCCCCTGCTCGCGAGCATCGAACCCCAGCTGCGGCATCATTGACACGCCATGTGCCAGGCAACACTCCGCGTACGTCCTCCCTTTCTCCACGCTGGCAGCACTGTTCTCCACGGACGTGGCGCTGGCGCAAGATTCAACGGAAGCGGACACCCTGGCGTCGCGGCATCGCCACAGCGCCAGCATAATACCATTGCCGGGCCTCAGTAGGTCGTTGGGCGCCGCAGGCGCATCCGATGGCCGCCACGCCCCGCAGCTCGTCAGTGCCTCCGCGATCGTCGGGTGGGTCTTCTCTGTGATTTTGACTATGAAGCCTGTTTCCCTCGCGATGTGGGCACTCGCGTCAGCGGCGTAGTCCGCCACGGTGGCATGGTTGGCGAGCACCGCGTCCCGGCTGATCCTGACGCCGTCGAAATGCAGAGACAAATGCTTCACCGGCTGCGCTAGCGCCCACGTCTGCCACTGGCGGAAGATGTAGTCCTCCGCGCGCTGGTAGAAAGTCGAGAACGTTTGTCCCTCCGGCCATTTCTCTGTCTTCTCGCCGTCGCCCTGCGCGGCGTCGTGGCAGAAACTCTCGTATACCTCCGGCAACGCCGAGCACGCCAGCCAGCGCAGTACGCGGCTCACGCGCTGCAACTTCTTGGCGAATGGCTTGGCATCGGCGTCGAAAGAACGGGACCCGCCGATGATCTCGAGTACAAAGCGCTTGGCCGCCTCGGGCCCCATGTCCGGCAACTCGCCCCGAAGTGCCTCGTCCCTGTTCTCGGCCAGCCGCTTCAGCAACTCTAACTCCTCGCTGAACAGGTTCTTGTCGGCCATGTCCATTTTCTCCACGAATTGCCAAGTGATGGTCAGGACAGCGCTGTGGATGTCGAGATCTACGGTGCCTTGCAACATCGGATGTAGCACGCGCGCTGGGCACCCCTGCGCCGCCGGAACATCCGCGAAGCGACGGGCCGCCGTGCGTTTATACGTGTAGGGAATGCTGCGCTCTGCCAAGTCGATGCCACCGCTGAAGCTCTTCTTCGCACCAATTTTCCTCCTCTTCTCCGCCGGTGCGTCGGCTGGCACCACGGTCGGCCTCTCGCGCGCGCTCTCGAGCAACACTTCCAGGGCGAGCTCCGCTGCCTGAATGGACGCGCCGACCGCGCGCAGATGGGCGTCGCCGCCAACCTCGGGCTCCGTTCCGCGCTTCCTCCGCCCGCGCGGCTTTGGGACGGCACCCAAGGTCTCAATCATGATGTCGACGTTGTGCTTGCGACAAGCGTTGCCGTTCGCGTAGCGGCTCAGCGCCGCGCGGTCCCACTGTTCTGGTAGCACGGTCGGCTCCTCCACGTTCGGCGCCGGCACAATATCCTCGAACTTGCGAGTGGTCAACAATTTTGGTAAAAGTCTGTCTTTCGCTTTGCCATACAAACCACCTTTCGACCATCCGGCGGACTCCTCCATCGACTTCCACAGCGTCGGTTTCTTCTCCGGCAGGCCCTGAATCTGCCCTGTGGACATCTGCTTCAAATATGAAAATGTCAAGGCGTCGAAGCTCCGCTCGAGCATCTGATGGAGGAGTTGGCGGCGCAACTGCGCCATGGGCTCTTCCGCATCCTGCGACCCGCCCGCTCCGACATCAAAGTCGACGCCGGGCGGCGGGGCAGCCGCGCTGCTCTGGCCGCCAGGCTTCGGCCTGCTCGGCTCCGAGAGAAGACGCGCCTGTCGCATGTATTTCTCCGTGATCCCATTATCTCCTCCGCGCGGGCAGTAGTCATCTATCAGCGACCTCGATGCGGCTTCGCCGTATTTCCGTTCGAAGCCCAGCTGTCGTTGCAGACCAGCCGCGATGGCGGGCCCCGACTGCATGAACGGCTTCAGATCCGGCGCTCGCGGGAAGATGCCGTACTTCTCTGCGTCCGGCAGGGCGCGCCTGATATACTCCGCGTCGACAAACCTAGCATAAATCTTGATCAGAAGAGACCTCCGGTAGATGGCGTGGAATGCGCCCTCAGTGACTCCGTCGAAAGTGATGAGCTTGTTGAGCTCCATGCGTTTCCATCCGACCAGGTATATAACCTTCGTCAAAATCTGATACGGCAGTCGACCAAAGATGCCGTCGGCAGACGCCAGCTTCTTGAACAAATCCTCCCGGAAGCTCTTCCTCAAGCCTTCTGGCTTCTCCTGTGCCGTGAGAACGATCGTGCCTTTGAGCGACTCCACCGTCTTCCGCATCTCTCGTCAAGATAGAACACCTGCGGGTCGAAATACTTGTGGTTGGAGTGGCCGAGCATGGCGTCGAGATGGGCCGTCGTCAGCGAAAGCCCGACGCCGCCGGCTCCCCAGAAGAAGAACAGCTGGTCGACGTTCAACCCTCTCTTCGCCAGAGCGAGGGCGGCCATGCACACCTTGTGCGCGGCGGCGTTTGCCCAGAATGTCTGCCTGTAGAACTGATCCACTCTCGTCGCGGCCACCTTCAACGCTGGGTCGCCCAAGTAAGCCTTGATCGTGTGCGGTATGCCGATGTATATGCTCTTGCGCTCACTCTCCCTCGTGATCTGCGTCACCGGGGTTCCGCCCAGGTCGTAGACGAACGCGATGTCGGGGTGGGCGACGCCCCTGAGCGAGGGGCGCGGAGTCTCGCACCATTCGCAGTAAAACGACGGCAACTTGTTCTGAATCATCTGGATCTGTAAGCTTCGCCCAACTCGAGCAACGCTCACTGCGATCGTGATATACCACGGCGCACTGCGCGCGGAGCTGTCGTCTGCCGGCGCGTGCGCATCGCCATCCAGCCCTTGCGCCTCTATCTGCGAGAGAGCGTCGAATTCTGCGGCAGATTCCCCCGCGCCCCCCATGCCGCCGCCCTTGCCGCCGCCCTTGCCTCCTCTGTTGAAGATGGCGTTGTCGCGCCACGCGGCGAACGCCTTCCGAGCCTCGGGCCCGCTCTTCTCCAAAGACCCCTCGATCGCGGACATCGCGGCTTCATCATCCCGCCGAACCTCGCCAGTGAAGGACCGGAAAAGCCCTTCCAAAGTCAAGAGGTACTCCTTCAGGGCAGCATACACAATCTCTGGCATGAGACCCTCGTACTTCTCGAAGAACCTTGTATTCCCGTTCCAAAAATACATGACCCCGTCGTGGGCGACGAGGTAGTCACCGCCAAGTATGATGTGCATCATCATGACATACTCTCGAACGTAGATATCGGATAGCCGACATCGATACATGGCTAGCGCCCCAACGGCAATCCGCTTCAGGTACGGATCCCATGAGGCGTGCTTCTTCTCTATGAATGCTTTCACCGCCTCCGTCTGCACGAGTATGCTCTGAGCAGGCGGCTCAGGGTCTGCCGTTAAACTTTCCAGCCAGCTCCGCTCGCTGTCTACCTCCATCGTGAACTCGTCGAATTCCGCACTGCATGTAGCTGCGCCTGGGAGTTTCAACCGTCGCTGTAGGGAGCTGCTGTCGCCGACGGGATCGGCGGGCGCATCCTCGGGCTTGCTCGCGCGCGCGGCGACTTCTGGAACTCGCGGAATCCAACTCTGCAGGCACGACCAATGATCGACCTCGTGCCCATCCTCAGAGGACTGCGTGTGAAGCCGAAAGAGCGCTCTCAAAGGGCCGTTACCATAAACGCTCTGAACAGAGTGCTTCGTGTCCTCGTAGTGCTCGACGACGATCTGGCCGCCCAGGACCTCGCAGAAATATTTTATTTCATCGAAGCCCGCGTAAGCTTCTCGCCCGGTCTTCAGCAATCTGGCAGCAGTGGCTTCGTCTCCTGCGTCCCGCGCCATCTGCGCGATGCGATCCCGGAGCTGCTTGGCGCGCGCTTCGTCTGCGCAAACTCTGCCCCTATCTTCTGCGTAACCAGACGCATGTCTGCCGCGCAACCACGAATGCATATCCGCGGCAGCATTACAACAGTGATACAGACACAGCTCGTCGGCAGGCACCACCCCAACAGTATCGGCTGGAACATGCGGCGGGCCAGCGGGCGCGTTCGTCGAAATGGCGATGACGTGGGTGCGCATGTCGCCGCCGAGCTCGCCCGGAGACCCGCCGCGCTCGATTGGAGAAGGCGGCGCAGCACCCTGCATGATAGAGTCACCCAAATCAGCTGAAAATTGACTCATGGGCTGAGTGGCAGCAGCGCGCTGGTCGTCGGCGGCCATGACGACGAAGTGTGACAGAGAGATCACAGGACAGCAATGCTGATCCACGATCAGGGAGAGAGCAGAGAAGTCAAAACAGGCCGGCAATGCCGAGCCACGTTTGCTAACATCTTGAGCCGATGAAGCGAGCGACAAACGACGCATCGCAATGGCGATTGCCATTTGTTTTTGGAAAGGGCTGCGGCTTCCGGGGGGGGGTCCGGACCCTGAGGGTCCCACAGAGGCCCCAAGAGAGCCCCAAGAGAGCCTCATGATGGCCCAAACTATTCCGGGAAAGCGCGGCAGTGCTTCCCCACAGTAACTTCGAGCTTCCCGAGCTCTCTTGGAACCACCTGGGGCCCCCTTGGGGCGCTCTTGGGGTCATTCTGGAGCCCTCTTGAAGCCTCTTGGAACTTCTTGGGGCCTGCGAAATCCCTCTGGGAGCCCTCGTGGAATCCACTTAAGGCATGAGAAGACCTCAAGGGGGCTCCCCAAAAAGCCTCCAGAGGGCCCGAACTATTTCGGAAACGCGCGGTAATGTTTTCCCAAGTAGTTCGGATTTCCAAGGGCTCTCATGAAGCCCCCTTGGGGCGACCTTGGAGTTCTCTTGGGGCCTCTTGGGGCCTGCGAAAGCCCTGTGGGAACATTCTTGGAATTCTCTTAAGGCTCGAGAAAGCCTCCCTTGGGGTCTCCAAGAGGGACCGAAGAAGGCTCCAAGGAAGGGCCAAGAAAGACTCAAGAGGGATTCGAGACCCTGCTGGGCATCATATTTCATCATTGGGGCCATCGTCGGCCAAAACCACAATCATGTTCATGATCATCATCATCACCACCATCATCATCATCGTCATCATCACCATCGTCGTCGTCATCATCACCGTCATCATCGTCATCATCATCAGCGTCATCATCACCATCATCATCAGCATAACCATCATCATCATCATCATCATCATCATCATCATCATCATCATCATCATCATCATCATCATCATCATCATCATCATCATCATCATCGTCATCATCATCATCATCGTCATCGTCACCAGCATCCGCATAAACATCCGCATCACCATCATCATCGTCAACATCGTCATCATCAGCATCATCATACGTATTATCATCCGCACCATCAGCAGCATCAGTCTCAGCATCGTCATCATCCTCGTCGTCATCAACATCGTGTTCCTCATCTCCCCGCGGACACCTCGTTCATGCCGTTTTCCCTCATGATCCTCCTCCTCCTCCTCCTTATCCTCCTCCTCCTCCTATCATCATCCTGATCTTCATCAACATCATCGCCCTCCTCCTCCTCCTCCTCCTCCTCCACTCCCTCGTCCTTATCCTCGCGGGTGGGCCGGCGCGCGAGGAGAGCACGTTGGCACTCGCGCGACGAGGGGCGGCGAAGCGCAGCTCTCAGGTACACGGTCAGGATTCCTGCGGCAAGGCTTCCTCCAGATTCGCGTCGAGGTTCAAACCTCGAACCTCGAGGATCGAGGTTTGAAGCTTTTTGGCCTTCGGGGGCCTCCTCGTCGCCATGGCCGGACGCGGCTCGAAAAGCTGGTGCGTTTGGACCCTGGGAGGGGTCTGGGGACCCGTTTTAAGCGGATTTGGCCCCTGGTGCACCAAAACTCACGAAGAGCGGCCGAAGAGAAGCTTCAGGACGACCTACTCGGACATGGACCTCCTGGGCCTGTTTTCAGCGATGGACCTCCCAAGTCCGTTTCGCGACAATGCAAGACAATACAACACTATACAATACAATGCGTGGCAATGCTGCGCAATACAACCCAATACAACGCAATGTCACCACATAGAGTACAAGGGAATTATGATATACACCCTTCTGTCTCGTATCGTTTACGCGCAGCTCAGGACTTCGTACTGTTTACGTGCAGCCCAGGCGTTCGTACCGTTTACGTGCAACCCAGAAGTTCGCACCCAGAGACATCACGTAAACGGTACGAGCTTCTGGGTCGTACGTAAACGGTACAAAACAAGGGATTCGATGGTCCTCCTGGGCGTGTTTTCAGCGATGGGCCTCCCAAGCCCGTTTCGAAACAATGCAAAACAATACAATACTATACAAATGCAGTGCAACGCAACGGCACAACGCAATACAACGCAACGCAACGCAGCACAATATAACACAATAGAACGCAACGTCACCACATAGAGTACAAAGGAATGCGAATCTGCGCCCCTCTGTGTCGTACCGTTTACGTGCAGCCCAGGAGCTCGCACCGTGTACGCGCAGCCAAGGAGTTCGCACCTCTTACGTGCAACCCAGAAGATCGCACCCGGAGGCTGCACGTAAACGGTACGAGTCACGTCGAGGTTCAAACCTCGAACCTCGAGAATTGAGATTTAAGGTTTTTGGCCTTCGGGGGCCCCTCTCGTCGCCACGGCCGGACGCGGCTCGAAAAGCTGGTGCGTTTGGACCCCAGGAGGGGTCCGGGGACTTGTTTGTTGCGCCAAGACTCACGAGGAGCGGCCGAAGAGAAGCTTCAGGACGACCTATTCAGACATGGACCTCCTGGGCCTGTTTTCACCGATGTACCTCCCAAGTCCGTTTCGCAACAACGCAAGACAATACAACGCTCTACTATAGAATGCAAGGCAATGCTGCAAAATACAACCCAATACAACGCAATGTCACCACATAGAGTACAAGGGAATGGGAATATACACCCCTCTGTCTCGTACTGTTTACGTGCAACCCAGGAGTTCGCACCCAGAGACATCACGTAAACGGTACGAATTTCTGGGTCGTACGTAAACGGTACAAAACAAAGGGTTCGATGGTCCTCCTGGGCGTGTTTTCAGCGATGGGCCTCCCACGCCCGCTTCGAAACAATGCAAGACAATCCAATGCTATACAACACAATGCTCTGCAACGCAACGGCACGACGCAATACAATGCAACGCAACGCTGTACAATACATCCCGATACAACGCAATGTCACCACATAGAATACACGGGAATGCGCATCTGCACCCATCTGTCCCGTGCCGTTTACGATATCCCAGGAGCTCGTACCGTTTATGTGCAACCCAGAAGTTCGCACCCAGAGGCTGCACGTAAACGGTACGAGCTTCTGGGTTGCACGTAAGCGGTACAAGACAGAGGGTTCGGTGGTTCTCCTGGGCCTGTTTTCAGCGATGGGCCTCCCAGGCCTGTTTCGAAACAGTGCAAGAAAAGACAATACTATACAATGCAATGCAATGCAACGCAACGTCACAACGCAATACAACGCAACGCAACGCAGCACAATACAACCCAATAGAACGCAACGTCACCACATAAAGTACAAAGGAATGCGAATCTGCGCCCTCTGTTTCGTACCGTTTACGTGCAGCCCAGGAGCTCGTGCCGTGCACGCGCAGCCAAGGAGTTCGTACCTCTTACGTGCAACCCAGAAACTCGCATCGGGAGACTGCACGTAAACGGTACGAGTCACGTCGAGATCCAGGCGATCCGCAGGGCCGCCGAATTTATTTAATTTATTTAATTATTCCATTTATTCTACAAACATTATTTAAATAAATTGAATTAATTCGGCTGCGGCCGAGGCTCGCCGACATCTCCGGCAGGGAGGCCGGAAAAATAAATTAAATACATTAAATAAATTCAATAAGTTAAATAAATAGAACTAATTGAATTTATTCAATTAATCATGAGGGCCAGATTAGAATAATTAAATAAATTAAATTAATTCTATTTATTTAATTATTTAATTTATTTAATATATTTATTTTACTCAATTTATTTTTAGGGCCTCCCTGGCGGAGATCCAAGCGATCCGCAGGGCCGCTGAATTTATTTAATTTATTTAATTATTTAATTTATTCTACAAACATTACTTAAATAAATTAGAATAATTCGGCCGCGGCCGAGGTTCGCCGGCATCTCTGGCAAGCAGGCCGGAACAATAAATTAAATAAATTAAATAAATTACATAAATAAAATAAATTAAATTACGTAAATAGAACTAATTGAATTTATTGAATTAATTATGAGAGCCAGATTAAAATAATTAAATTAAATTAATTCTATTTATTCAATTTAATTAATTTATTTAATTTATTTAATTGATTCCATTTATTTTTAGGGCCTCCCTGGCGGAGATCCAAGCGATCCGCAGGGCCTCCGAATTTATTCCATTTGTTTAATTATTTAATTTATTCGACAAACATTACTTAAATAGATTAAAATTATTCGGCCGCGGCCGAGGCTCGCCGGCATCTCTGGCAAGCAGGCCGGAACATTAATTCAAATAAATTAGATAAATTAAATATATAGAGTTAATTTCATTTATTTAATTAATCATGAGGGCCAGATTAAAATAATTAAATAAATTGAATTAATTCTATTTCTTTAATTTATTTAATTTATTCAATTTATTTATTTAATTCAATTTATTTTTAGGGCCTCCCTGGCGGAGATCCAATCGATCCGCAGGGCCGCTGAATTTATTTAATTTATTTAATTATTTAATTTATTCTACAAAGATTACTTAAATAAATTAAAATAATTCGGCCGCGGCCGAGGCTCGCCGGCATCTCCGGCAAGGAGACCGGAAAAATAAACTAAATAAATAAAATAAATTAAATAAATGGAATAAATAATATAAAAAGAATTAATTTAAGTTATTTAATTAATCACGAGGGCCATATTAAATAATCAAATAACTTAAATTAATTCTATTTATTTAATTTATTTAATTTATTCATATTTAATTAATTACATCAACTCAAATAATTAAATTAAATGAACACATTGTACTGGAATCTTCTCCAATCATATATATATATATATATATCAATATAGCAATATGTTACTAGGTAGGAGAGAACGCGTTTCACGGGCGGTTGCCTTGGGAATATTCGGCGGCGCGTTTCGAGACGGGGGTTGGGCCCCCCCCCAACACTCGGCGCCGTCGATCAAAACCCTCCCCCTCAAACCCCCCACTTCCCACCACCACCCCCCTCGGCGCCGGCGCCGGCGCTGGCGGCCGCCA